CTCAATGGCACTTAACAACAACATGAACAACAATGTATGAAATCAAGGAACCCTGGTGGCACAGTGGGTTTAACTAAAAGTTAGGTGGTTCAAATCCACTAGCAACTCCATGGGAGAAAGGTGAGGCAACCTGTTTCCATAAGATTTCCAACTCAGAAACCCTGTAGAACAATTTTATTCTACCCTACAGGAGTCCTGGTGTGGCGCTGTGGGTTAATGCACCAGACTGCAAAGCCATTTGAACTGTAAGGTCGGCAGTTCAAGCTCAACAGCTGCTCCTTGGAAACCCTATACAGGGTCGCTGGGGGTCGGAACCGACTCGACGGCACTTTACAACAACAGAGTCACTATGAACAGGAACTGCCTCCATGGCAGTGGGTCCAGTTTGTGTTGTGTAACTTTGGTATATACAATCACAGTGACAATAGCAACTTGACAGATTAGGTATGAACTTTAGGGGGCAGTGAATTTATGCTAATGGGGAAGAACAACACAGAAAAGAAGGGTGAGAATGGTTGCACACTATTAAGAATATAGTCTTTGTCACAGAATTGTACATGTAGAATGAATAGGATTGATGTATGTATTGATGTGTATATTCTCAGCAACAACAAAGTAAAATAAAAACAAAAACATGGCGAGAAAGGAAAAAAAGAAGTAAGTAGCAAAGGCCTATATAGATAAAACAAAGTGAATACTTCTGTGTGGTAGAGCAATGATGGTGGTGGTTTTTAAATGCAGTGATGGAGGGCTGTTGATCTTTACTAAGACTTTGTTTCTAGGGAAAGCAAAGTCAATCAAGAAAACTAACATTTTAAAAAGGAGATTAAAATTCTATGTATCACATTGCCACTTTGAAGGCAAATTCACCTATGAGACTCATCATTCTGTGGCTCACTTTTGATAAAAGAGTGAAGTCATATCATCTCTAGAACATGATGTTAGAATTTAAGAAGTAGGGGGAAATTTTGGTAGATTTGAAAAGGACAGTAAAATAGATTTTTTGTAGTTTTTGAACTTTGCACAACATTCACTTACTAGCAATTACTCATTGCCTAAGTATGCAGGAGGGATGAGACTTCATTAAAGTGTGCTAAAGGGAAAAGCTAAGCCTCCTCCTGGAGCAATAAATCAGTGCTCCTCATCCTTCTGAGCTGGACACTTAATTCTGTAAACCTGACAGATACTGAGAATATAGAGTTGACTCCAGGGGGGTGCAAGTCAGTGAGAGCTTATGAGTCTGATGAGCTACAAGGCCTAGTGTTCAATTTCCTGGAAATTCTTCTGAGCAACAGGTAAAGCCATCAGTTGTGATTGGTGTTTATGGCATATGGAAACACAATTTTCATGTAAGCATTACCTTTTCAAAGAAAAATCTGTATATTCAAGAATAAAATCACCACTTAAAATAGGAAAATGGAATACAAAATTTCTTGTAGTGGTCCAAAATAAAAATGTTGCTAGAAATATTTATAGAACAAAACTATGTGTAAATCTTAAGGTACATTTTTAGAATTCTAACATAAGAATTATTCCAAAGCAAGGTTGGTGGTTCAAGTTCACCAGTTGCTCCTCGTAAACCCTATACAGGGTCTCTATGGGTCAGAGTCGACTTGATGGCACTTAACAGCAACAACAAGGAAGAAAAGTATATATACTGGTGGTATTATTGCTCATCAAGTAGACTAATTGCTTTATGTAAAAATAATATTTGTTAATTTTATATGCAAGGTTGTCACTTCTTCTTGTCAGGTGCCGTCGAGTCAATTCCAACTCATCTCAACCCTATGCACAATAGAATGAAACATTGCCAGGTTCTGCACCATCCTCACAATTGTTGTGTTTAAACCCATTGTTACTGCTGTTGTACCAATCTATCTCATTTGGAGTGTTCCTCTTGTTTTCTGACTCACCACTTAACCAAGCATGATATCCTTCTCCAGGGACTGGTCCCTCCTATAATATGTCCAAACTATGAGAGACGAAGTCTGACCATTCTAGCTTCTAAGGAGTATTATGAGTGTACTTCTTCCAACACAGATTTGTTTGTTCTTCTGACAGTCTGTGATACTTTTAATATTCTTCTCCAATACCATTACTCAAATGCATTAATTCTTCTACAGTATTCCTTATTTATTGTCCAACTTTCACATGCATATGAGGCTATTGAAAATACCGTGGCTTTGATCAGGCCCACCATGTCCTCAAACTGACATCTTTGCTCTTGAGCACTTTAAAGAGGTCTTGTGTAGCACATTTCCCTCATGCAGTGCACCATTCGATTTCTTGACTGCTGCTCCATGAGTGTTGATAGTGGATCTAAGCAAAATAAAGTCAATGAAAACATCAATCTAGTCTCCATTTATCATGATGTTATTACTGGTCCAGTGGTGGAGATTTTATTTCCTTTACATTGCTATTCATACTGGAGACTGTGGTCTTTGATCTTCATCAATATTTTAAGTCCTCTTCACTTTTAACAAGCAAGGTTGTGTCATATGCATATCGCAGGTTGTTAATGAGTCTTCTTCCAATCCTGATGCCATGTCGTTCTTCATATAATTCAGTTTCTCAGGTTAATTTGTTCAGCATACAGATTGAATAGATGTGAAAGAATCCAACCCTGGTGCACACTTTTTGGGATTTTAAACCATTGTTCTGCTCAAACAAATGAGGACGTGGAATAAGAGATATCATTGTTAATGTCAGATGGGTTGTTGGCTAGAAGAGAATAGCAGAGAGTGTTTACCTGTGGTTTTATTGACCATGCAAAGGCTTTTGATTGTGTGGAGCATGGCAAGCAATGGACAACATTGTGGAGAATGAGTATTCCATAACACTTAATTGTGCTCATTTGGAATCTGTACATAAACCAAGAGGCAGTCATTTGAACAGAATAAGGGGACAATGAATGGTTTCAAATTAGGAGAGGTGTACACCAGGCTTTTATTCTTTCACCACACACATTTATTTGATGTATATACTGAGCAAATAATCTGAGAAGCTGGATTATGTGAAAATGAATGTGGCATCAGGATTAGAGGAGGACTCATTAATACAACACCATAACTCAAATGTATCACTTCTTTTATGTTCTTCCGTATTCCTTGACCAACTTTCACATGCATATGAAGCTATAGAAAATACTATGGCTTGGGCCAGGCACACCTTAGTCCACAAACTGACATCTTTGCTCTTGAGCACTTCAAAGTGGTGTTGAAGAATATCAAAATATCATGAACTGCCAGAAGAACAAAGAAATCAGTGTTGGAAGAAGTAGTGCCAGAATGTTCTTAGAAGCCAGGATAATGAGACTTCATTTCACATACTTCAGACATATTATCAGGAGCGACCAGTTTGTGGAGAAGGACACCATGCTTGGTAAAGTAGTGGGTCAGTGAAAAAGAGGACAACCCCCAACGAGATGGATTGGCATAATGCCAGCAGCAATAGATTCAAACATAACAGTTGTGAGAATAATACATAGGACAAGGCAGTGTACGTTCTGTTGTACATCAGGTTGCTATGAGTTGGAACCAATTGGACGGCACCTTAACAGCAACATCATCATAAAGGCAAAGACCAAGGTACTGATAGAACCAGTAACCAGAGAGATCACTTTTTATATTGAATGCTTTGTACAGTCAGTCCTCTGTAAGGAAAGTTACTTAAACTAAGTGAGGAGGAAAATAAGTTGGACATAAAGCTGGAGAGAGACGAAGGCTTTTGGATTGTGCTAAGGAATTTGATCTGCCCATAATCAGTGGATAGCTAGCAAGCCAATTAATACGATTTAACTTTTAAAATCATTGGACACATCACTATGATTAATTAATTTGATAATGGGCCAAGGGTGAGTGCAGTGGAACCATTTGAGGCTCTTAACAATGCATTGCCCCAGGCAAAAGATAATGGCACCCTGATCTAGAGCAGACATTTCTGTAAAGAGCCCTACAGTGTCTGGGTCAACTACTCAAGCACTTTGGCCATTTTCTGTGCTTTTGTTTGTTTTCCTAGGAGTAGGAATTTAACAAATATATCTATATGAATCTCTATCTATCTATCTATGTATCTATGTATCTATCTATCTATGTATCTATCTATCTATCTATCTATCTATCTATCTATCTATCTATCTATCTATCTATCTGTCATTTAGTGTTGTTGAGTCAGTTTTGATTCATAGCGACTCTGTAATAGGGTTTTTGAGAGCGGCTGTGAGCTTAAACCATTGACCTTGTAGTTCAAAGCGACTTTGAGGTCCAGTGAATTAACCCACAACACCACACTGGGACTTATATATATAATTCTCAGATTCCTACTAGTTCCTTGACACTATATCTATATCGTCATTTTCTCCCTCCCTTCAAAAGTAACAGCCCTCACCTTTCACCTTCTCTCTCAGCTGCTGCTGTTGTTGTTATGTGCCGTGGAGTCGGTTCCGACTCATAGTGACCCTGCACAGGGTTTCCGAGGCTGTTAATCTGTACGGGAGCAGAGCGCCTCATCTTTCTCCCGCGGAACCGCTGGTAGTTTCGAACTGCTGACCTTACGGTTCGCAGCCCGATTCGTAACCACTACGCTACCAGAGTTGCAAGCTACTGTATAAGCCTAAAGCAGAGACTCAAGTCCTGATGTGGCACTCTAGGATAAACACTGGACTGCTAACTGCACGCTCCAAGGTTCAAATCTACTAGCTGCTCCTTGGAAACTCTCTTCAGGGTTGTTAAGTCAAAATCAACTTGACAGTTCTTAACAAACCTGTTAGAGGAATTGTATGCTAGTTCTTGTCATACATTAGTGGTCTGAGAGCAGGGAATACAGCTAAGTACAGCTGCCTTTTGCTCTTCTTCAGGTTCTACGTCCTACCCCATGTTTATAAAGGACTCCTTTTTTTATGGCAAAGTGATAACACCATTTTTATTTTCCTTAAAATTTGATGTATTCTGAGTTTTTATATTTGTGCTGTTGTTATTATTGCCAACCTTTGAATTTTTCAGGCTTTGCTTTCTGTACATGATACTGTGGCTCAGAAGAATTATGACCCTGTGTTGCCTCCTATGCCTGATGACATCGATGATGAAGAGGACTCAGTAAAGATAATCCGTCTGGTTAAAAATAGAGAACCACTGGTGAGTTGTCCATTTGGTCTGCCTTTTGTGCTTAGATGTAAGTACATGTCATGATGAAGCCAAATTTGATGGGCATGTTTATATAATGCACTCCTTACACTCTCAAGACTTTAAAATAAGTGGAGCATTTACTAAAGGGAAATAAAGCCGATTAAATGGCAGCCCTTCTGTGTCCATACATGAAGTGCATTGGCCAGGGAAGGAATTGAACTCAGATCTCCCACATGAAGGCAAGAATTCTACCTCCCCACCTCCATCTCTCTGTGTGCATCATTTTTAGCAGTATGATGCAATATAGCAGGATTTGAAGTCTTGAAAGGCAAAGTAACCATTTGTGTCTTTTATTCTTACAGTGAATTCAGTTGATATAAATTGTTTCCTATGTTATGGCAAAAGGTTAGTTCTCTTTATCCTTGATAATTAGCTTAATCCTAGTTATGAGGCCTGATACAGTGCTATAGAATAAGCACTAGACTATTACCCATAAAGTCAGTAGTTCATATCCACCAGCCACTCCTTGGAAACCTAATACAGGGTTGCTATGAGTTGGAACCCACTTGACAGCACTTAACAGAGATCTGTCAGTTCATAAAAACCCTGAGTAACAGATCTTCCATTTATTTGCCTTAGCATTAGGCATAAAATACATGTGTAATTGATTTCTGTTGCTTTTCTCTCTTTTTTGTCACCAGAGTTCTATTATGTTCGGCTATTAGAAGGATTACTGAATTAGATGTCAAATGGCCTGGGTTTTAGCTTTCTAATTTATCATAGGATCTCTGTCTGCCATTTTAGCATTGTTGTTGTTGTTATGTGCCGTGGAGTCAGTGGTAACAAATTGAGCTGCAAACTGCAAGGTCAGCAGTTCGAAACCACTAGCATCTCCATAGGAGAAAGATGAGGCTTTCTGCTCCTGTAAAGATTTACAGCCTTGGAAACCCTGCACAGGGTGTCTATGAGTCGGAACTGACTCCACTGCACATAACCACCAATATCTTTATGGTTTTAGCTTTTTAATTTGTCATAGAATCTTTGTCTTTATGGAGTATTATGGCAATAAATGAGTCCTGGTGTGGCGCTGTGGGTTAGTATGCCAGACTGCAAAGCCCTTTGCACTGCAAGGTCATCAGTTCAAGCTCACCAGCTGTTCCTCAGAAACCCTATACAGAGTCGCTATGGATCAGAAGTGACTTGATGGCATTTAACAACAACATGGGACTAAAAAAGAGTGAAAATAAATCATGTTCAAATACACAGTATTTACACATTTGTATTATAATGGAAAGAGATAGTTTTACTCTAAACAGTGATAATGAGGTTAAAGATTTTTTTAAAATCTTTAAATTATGCTGGATCCCTTAGTTAATAGATAGAATAGAAAATCCTGAGCCTAGTAATCAGTATTTATAAGACAAATAGTATATAATGCTGATTCCCCCTGACTCATTCTTTAAAGTTTTTAAAGTTTTTTTTTTTTTTTTTACTTCTTCACTTTCTTTAGATGCACATCCTCTTTTCTGTTTCTCCCCTCCTACCATGCAACACATTCATTTACTCACAAATGGTTTTATTTTTTTCTTACTAGGGAGCTACCATTAAGAAGGATGAGCACACTGGGGCCATCATTGTGGCTAGAATTATGAGAGGAGGAGCTGCAGATAGAAGTGGTAAGATTTAAAAAGTTAAATGATTGCAGAGAAGTCATACTGCAGTTGGTGTGCACCATTTATAATATAAGGAGGAATAAAAACATTCATGAAAAAGTTCATTATCTTTTGATCCCATTTTCTCACAGACTTGTTGAAGCTCCATTATACACCCACTCCTGGCTGTATCAACATGGTTGTTGTTAAGTGCCGTCGAGTCGGTTCCGACCCATAGCGACCCTGTACAGGGTTTCCGAGGGTGTAAATCTTTACGGGAGTAGAAAGCCTCATCTTTCTCCCTTGGAGCGGCTGGTAGTTTCGAACCGCTGACCTTAAGGTTCGCAGCCCAATTCGTAACCACTACGCTACCAGAGCTCCAAAAAACCAGGTGGTTGTTGTTATTGTTGAACCTTGCGATTCAAACTGACCTTGCGATCCATGCATTATCCTGCACCACCACAACAGGACTCCAAACAACAGGCAATGATATGGAAATTGGCATTATGCAAAAGTGAAGGTTGATTATATCCTATCACAGAATGGAGAATGACTACATTATTACTTAACTGCCAAATGATAGCGTTAATAATTTGTAAATGAGATTACATAACTGTAACCACTGAGAATCATAGCCTCACCAAGCTGACACATAACCTTAACCATCACAACTAGTGTTACTCTTACCTTGCATTAGTTATTGCCAGAGGCAAATCATTAATGTACAAAATAGATACTTGATTTGTGACTATTGCTGTCAATGTGAAACATCGGATTGAGAGAGATGATAAGTGACGAGTTGGGTGTATATAATCAAGAGGCTAACAATCTTGTGATAAAGTATAGCAAAACAAGTAATAGAGTGTTCTCCTTTATGTTGTCATGTGGGGACCTATTTAAACATATGATACGGAAGTCTTAACTTTACTTTATAGTCTTAGGTTACACAGGCTTCCTAAGTTATATTAAGGTTTTCATTTTGGTGAAAACACAACAGAACATGCACCATTTGATCATGTTTGCATGTAGAGCTCTAATGGTTATATACACTTTATATTGTATCACCCTTCTCCCTAGCTCTGACCTTATTGCTTTATCACCATTAACATAGACTTTCTGCCTCTGAAAATTCATTTCTGTGTTTTAGTGTTACTATTGTCCAGTCAGTCTTAGACAGATATTTCTTTACAAGTGCACAATGCTCAAGGCAAACATTCTTTGTTAAATAAACTAAGTTGTTTAAAGATTTACATCATGGGATAGTTTTGGTGCAAGGTTAAAACACTGTCTCCAAGCAAAAGAGTCAGAGATTCTCCCAGTCTCTGTGTACATCCAGTTGTCAGGTTTCTGATAAGAATTTGAAGTTCTTTTCCACATTTTGCTGTCTTTCTGAATGAAATTCACCTATGGGCTTTTGATCAAAATGTTCAGTTATTGTATGCAGGCCCCATCATTCCTTCTGGTCTCCTGCCAAGGATGGTAGCTAAGTTCATGAAGGCAATTAGACTTGCAGTCCATTTCCTTCCCCAGTTCTTGGATCTCTTTCCTCTGTTGGCAGATAGAGACTAATTGTTGTATCTTTTAAGACCCCAGGCATTACTCACTGAACTGGAGGTAGAGCAGAAACTCTAGAAAAACAAAACAAAACAAAAAAACTGTATTAAAACCAATTGATTGGAAAGGCCACAATACCATGGTGGTGGTGGTGGTGGTGGTGGTGATGTGCTGTGGAGTTGGTTCTGATTCAAAGCATTTTAGAGGCTATAAATCTTTATGGGAGCAGAAATCCTCATGTTTTCTCCCGGGGAACAGCTGGTAGTTTGGAACTGCTGACCTTGAAGTTAACAGCCTGACTCGTAACCATTAACATTACCAGAGCTTCTTACAATAGCCCTAACTATACCTTTGAACCAAGAAATCTGATGACAAAACCTTTGAACCCAAATTGCTGTTCCCATGAGGCATTCATTTATACTCCTGGCGTGGTTCTTTAGGATAGGCACTGGACAGCTAACTGAAAGCTTGGCACTCAAACCCACCAGCTGCTCCTTAGAAACCATGTACAGGATCGCACCTTATCAACACCTACTGTCTTGCCTATTGGTTATCGCATTTGTTGTAAAGTTGCACATAACATCTATTTGAAATTTTGCCTTCGCCAGGCCCCTAGTATACAGCTTAGTGATATCAATTTCAATTGTTTTTAGTGTTTCTGATTTAGAAAGTATTACTAAAATCATGCAACCTCTTATAAAAACAACGTTTTTATAAGAAATTAGTGATGTGCGTTTCTAGGCAAATGTAGGACCCAGCCCTGTATGCCAACAAGTCTCTGGGGGCAGACAGAGAATGAAGCTAGGGGCCACTGGGAAAGGTGGAGGTGGAAAATCAGAAGGATCCGGAGAACAGTGCCGTGCCCCTGGAGATCCATTATCTTTACAATGCTTATTTTGCCCCGAAGTTTGCAGTGGTTCCAAAATCAATTTAACTAAGGTACAGGAAGTCCAAATCTCAGCCGGATTATTTTCCCTTTGCCTATGATGCTTTTTTTAAATTTTCATTTATTCTATTCCATGTTTGTAAATCTAAGGTGCTCTCTTCTGGGAACTAGGGACAGTATTGCTCTACAGTATCTAATAGTTGAATTAATTTCTCTTCCGATATTGACACCCCTACATTAGTTAAAAGAGAGTGCAATAAGGAAACATAGGACTTATATTTACTGTCCCCTTGACAGTAAATATCGTAATCCTAGGCTTTATGCCCTGTAGTTCGGTAACCCTGAATTCTTTTTACTTACCTTTCAGGGTCCCCCTATGTCCCTTACTTACCGTTTAGTTTCTCTTTTGTCAAGAATCTTCCCTGCCCCTCCTTGGCCGCCATTATGCAGGAACCAGCTCTGCACGAACAGGACTTGGGGGCAGGCGGAGAATGAAAGTGCCAGGGGACTCAAGATGTCCAGTCGAGAGTAACATTATTATTCTACAATACAGCTTTAAGTACAATATTAGGCAGAAAGCATGTTCGGACAGTTCATCAGTCTAAGGTTTATGATTACCAAAGTAACCTTTAAGTACAAAGCTAAGAGTGAGCAATAACTAGATAAGGATCAAGTACATAGTAACTATTTCCCCTAATTACGGACTCTGCCCCAAACTGTTAGGTCATTGTGTTCCAAGCCCAACACCGATGGCAAGCAAGGTTTTCCTTGTAGTTCTCATCAAGCCGTTCCTTAGTTAGAGTACCACCGCCATGTGGGTGTCATACACGTCCCATTACTCCTACAGGCAAAGACCAAGGTACTGTTGTAATTTTTTTGCCAGCACAGTGGCAGCATACGATAAGTACTGGACTGCTAACAACATAGTCCATGGTTCAAGTCTGCCGGCTGCTCCGTGCGAAAAAGAGGCTTTCTGCTCTCTGAAAGATTCAAAACTTTGGAAACCTTATACAGGGTCTCAGTGAGTTGGAACCCACTTGTCAGCACTTAATAACAACTATGCTGTAGTTGTTAATACATTTTGTGTGTGTGTGTGTGAACTGAGTGATAGTTTACATGGGAGAACATCGTCAGTACACCATTGTTACATTGCAAAAATTACAATCTCCTCCATACATCATCATTCAACAGTATTTGTTTCCATTCTCTCTGTTTTTCTTTCTTTATTTCTTGAGGGGAGAAAAGTGTGTGTGTGGGGGGTGTACACAAAAACACTCAGGAATATATAATAATTTAAACAATCAAAGGGCACATTCTGCAAGCCTGCCTCCTGGCCACCAGCACTCAGTCCCTCTCTTTCCCATGAGTTTAGAGTCCTCAGCTTCTCCCCCTCTCCATGTCCTCATCTCTATTACCATCTCTGGTGTCACTGCTTCTCTGGATACGGTCGTGCATTCCTCTTGTGCTCTTCTCCCTTGATGGTCCTAGGGTATTCTTTTTCTGAACTTTAAGATTAACTACTCCCCACTTTTTGTTACAAAACTTCTACCTTTACAGTTGTGACAGTCACTATTAGTCATGATTTGTTGTTGTTGTTAAGTGCCGTCATGATAGCAGTTACTATTGAATCATAAGAATCTTATCACCATCTCTTTTTACCAGACCCATCTAGACAAGATGAAAACTATTCAGTGGGGGACTGTACCTTCCACCCACACGCTCTTCAACTAACTTCTCCCTTGAAAACTTGTTAGCCAGTCATTTCATGCCTTTATCACCCCCTCATTTTAGGTAGCCAATCTCTAAGTTGCCCGTTCCTATCTACCCTGTATACAAAGGGGATAAAATTGACACTTGATGTGAAGACTCCTTTCCTCTCTGTTGGTATTTTGAGCTACTACATCGATAAGTATGGGTCAAGTTCCTCAAATTATAGCAATTTACACTCTCTTCCTTTATCAAAAATTGTGTTTTTGTCTTTCTCTTGTCGAGTTCTGATTATCAAGCCATCGAGACTAGGTCAAATGGTTACTATCTGCAAATATGGGTGTTCTTGTGCGTCTCCTCTCACTTCATATTAGCTGGATGTTTCACTCTCATCTCTAGCCCTCTGTGGTTATGCTCTTGTCCATGGGCTCAGGTGCCCCAGGTCTCACCACACTTTGGACCAACCAGCTCTTCCTCTTCTCTTTCTCATCTCCAGGTCAACGGGAGTCTATGGAACATAGTTGAACTCAGCCCGTTTCTTCATTGCTGCCTTTCCCACTCTTCCACTCACCAGTAGACCAATGTGGTCACCAGCAAGCTTACATGCCTGCTCATGTGTTCCTTTTGAGTTTCAGTCTTGGAGGAGGGTTTGTCGTCAAGGTACTTGATTGCTTGCCTTGATGGCTTCCTGGTGAACAACTTACTTATATACGATCATACTGCCATTTTTGTTTTGGGTTTTTCCTGATGATCTTTCTTTGAAGATGTATCTTCTGTTGCTCTAGCTGTTCTAGGCTGGTCTGCTTACCCTTTCTAATGGGACTGTCCCACCTCAGAAGGTTCTGGATGGGGCTCAGGATTCCACCTAAGGTCCTATACACTGCAAAGGCTCCACAAGAGGCCAATTTTCACTGGGCAAGTTCATTGATACATTTTTGTATTCTAAAGACAGAATTTGAAACCTGAGACGTTTGAAGGCCTTCTCTCCAGTCCTTCAGTGCCTTAAAGGAACCTTATGGAGTCCTGGTGTGGCGCTGTGGGTTAATGCACTAGACTGCAAGGTTTGTTTGAACGGCAATGTTGGCAGTTCAGACTTACCAGCCTCTCCTTGGAAACTCTATACAGGGTCACTATGGGCGATAAATAACAACAACAAAAAATACAGGGTCATCATGGGTTGGAACTGACGACAACACTTAGAGGAACAACAACCAATATTTTAATTATGGAAATTGCAAATTAGTTACCTTAGCTTTGCATGCTGCCAACTGAACACATTTGCTGTTTCTCAGGTCTTATTCATGTTGGTGATGAACTTAGAGAAGTGAATGGGATCCCAGTGGAGAATAAAAGGCCTGAGGAAATAATACACATATTGGTAAGGTACAAATTTATTTTTAAAATTGCAATAACAATAAAACTGAATCAGTATGTTTTAGGACTCAATAAGGCACAGGAATTGAATTTGATCCAGCCTTTGGATCCTGACTCCATCCCCGAGTGTCATTGGAAAATATCTTAATCTATTTGTGCCTTGGTGTTTTCATTTGCGAAGTGAGACTAAAAAGAGGTAAATACCTCACTGGAGTGTTTCGAGTATTAAATGAAGTGTAAAGTATAAGGAGCTCTGGTAGTGTAGTGGTTATGAATCAGGCTGTGAACCGAAAGGTCAGATGTTCGAAACTACCAGCTGCTCCATGGGAGAAAGATGAGGCTTTCTGCTTCCGTAAAGATTTACAGCCTCGGAAACCCTGTTCAGGGTCGCTATGGGTCGGAACCGACTTGACGGCACTTAGCAACAACAACAACAAAGTATAATAGAATTTAAGGAGCCCTGGTGGCAATGTGAGATAAACATTGGCATGGTAACTGCAGTGTCAGTAGTTTAAACCCACCATATACTCCTTGAAGAACAATGAGGCTGTCTGATCCTGTAAAGGTGTAGTATCTTAACCCGCTTGATGGCAGTGAGTTTATGTAAGATTTTCGTTTAGTGTGGGGTCATCCCAAATTAGAAACTTGGTAGATAGTGGCGGCCCTGTTGTTGGTGATACATTTATGCTCTTCCTTCCTCTAGCTATACAAAGTAGTGAAAGTAATTTAGACCTTTTAGGAAATCTAAACAGAATAAGATTATTTGGGGCCTTTACAATATTATAAAGTTCATTTGCACGGAGAAAATGAAGGGAGACTGTCCTTATTATTTTCGACCGCATAAACACCAAAAAGATAAAGCTTGCTGCCATTGAGTTGATTCATACCCATAGCAAGCCTGCGTAGGTCTTCAGAGACTATAGATCTTTCCAGAAGCAGATAACCTCATCTTTCTTCCCTAGAGCAGCTGATGAGTCTTTCTGATCAGTACCCCAACACCTAACCCATAGCTCCACTAGTGCTCCTCCTGTCTTCATTAGCTGTCTTCCTCCTTTGTCTCTGAAAACATAGGTAGTGCGTTGCCTTTGAGTTGATTCCAATTCATAACAACTCTATATGACAGCGTAGAACTGCCCCAAAGATTTTCAAGGCTGTAATCTTTACAGAGGAGCTCTGGTAGCGTAGTGGTTATGAATCGGGCTGCGTATCTCAAGGTCAGCAGTTCAAAACTACCAGCTGCTCTTCAGGAGAAAGATGAGGCTTTCTGCTCCTGGAAAGATTTATAGCCTCGGAAACCCTGTGCAGGGTCGCTGTGGGTCGGAACCGACTCGACGGCACTTAACAACAACAACAACAATCTTTACGGAAGCTGACTGCCACATCTGTTTTCCATGGAGCAACTGGTGGGTTTGAACCATCAACATTTTCATTTAGCAGTAGTGCACTTAACCCGAACTATAGTGGTCTGAACCTTGCACATTGACTTGGTAATAACTGGTATTACAAAATATGGTTGTACAATTTATGTTTTTTCTATTCTAGTCCCTGAACGTTGTCTTTATTTAAGGCACTGGGCATATTTTCTTTTCATTCTGAAGTAACTCAAAATGGATAGTAATATAGTCATTGAAGTTTTTAAAGTGCAACAGAAGTTAAAAGTGGATACAGTGGCTATGTTTTGGTTTTGTTTTGTTTTGTTTTGTTTTGTTTTTAAACATATTTGACAAACTTTCATGCTTTCTCAGGTTACAGGAATTTCTATAAATCTGGTTTCCTCATGTTGATCTACCTTGGAGTTAAAACCCCAAGCTTGTAAATTTTCAGATGCGTTTAGTTTTCTATCTATTTTTCTTTTATTTCCCGTTAGCTTTAGACATTTTTGTATGACTGTTTTTTTCCTTTGATACCAGGCTCAGTCCCAGGGAGCAATTACATTTAAGATTATACCCAGCATCAAAGGGGAGACCCCATCTAAAGAAGGCAAGGTAATTGCTGCTTATATAAATCTATGTAGGCCAGGGGAAATAATGTTCTTCCAAATAATTCATATCTGCTTTGTCCCAATCAGTTAATTTTGATGTTGTAGTTTTTCAAAATGATTGTTTTTTAAATTAGAGTTAGAAAAATGAAGGTCAGCTCACATTTTTAGTTTTGATCTTTATTTATCTGAAATGAAACTTTCTTCCAGGTGTTTATCAAAGCTCTCTTTGACTATGATCCTAACGAGGACAAAGCAATTCCGTGTAAAGAAGCTGGACTTGCTTTCAGAAAAGGCGATGTCCTTCAGATTATGAGCCAAGATGATGCAACATGGTGGCAGGCAAAGCATGAAGGTGATGCCAATCCTAGAGCAGGCTTGATCCCCTCCAAGCATTTCCAGGAAAGGTGAGCTCCTGGCAGATCACCGTGGCCTTTCTTAAGCTGAACTTTTGTTCTCTGCAAAATATCATCCCGGCACAGTTGTGGTAAAACAAGCTCTCAAACCTTGCCCTGGAATCCTTTATCCCCCTGGGTTTGGATTTCTGTTTTGTCTACCCAAGTAGGAATGACCCAGAAATAATAGGGCAGTGCAATTCTTGGTTTTTGTTGTGAAAGCAAATGGAAAACAGTACGTTAGTATCTGAAATGGTACTGATGTGAAAATTGGGGGTGGGAAGAAGAACTATTCTTACGTGGGTGGAGATAATTTGTAAAAATTTTAAAGTAGAAGATTGACTTCTTTAACTACTTTGCATTGCGTTCATTTCCCCACTAATTTTCAAGCTTTTCTTCAGACTTTCCATATTTTGGTGTTATGCTAATCTCAGACCTGTACTGAAAATTGATAGGCATATTGACCTTATTTTCCCTCAGGAGATTGGCTGTGAGACGACCAGAAATATTAGTTCAGCCCTTGAAAGTTTCCAACAGGAAATCATGTAAGTTTGTTAATGTAAGAATGCAGAATAACCAAATCCTTTTACTTTTGACTATTAAAGCAGGTGCTTGTGGCAGAACAAGGTCTCGTATTACCTTGCAATAGCTTTTAAATGTTCATCTCACAGGGATCGAACAAATGAGAAATTTGGAGTAGGAATATTAATGTGAATCTTTTGAAGAATTAGGGGTGGTTGGATTGTTTGTAATAAACCAGAATCATTACACTGTTTAATAAAATAACTACTAGGTACTACTATTCTCTTTGATTTTTGCATTTAGGTATTTGATAAACGGGAACTAAAATGCAACTCTTAATTTCTCCAAAGCCAAGAGGGTTTGGGTAAGGTATTTCTTGTTAATAAATTAGGGGAGAAATTTCAGAACTTTCACGGGGGCACCAAAAAAATTACGCCTAAGAATAACTCTTTTCTTACCCCAAATCCTAACTCTTACTTTTATCTCGTCTGTTTGGAATTAAAAAAAAGGATAATGTAGGACAGCTGAAAAAGATAATGTGGATTTAAGTGCATTCTTTTTTTGCTTTCAGTCAACCTTTCTCTCAGATATCCTTTACTTCCCACCTTAGCCCACTCAAGTCCCCATCTCATAAATATTCTACATCTCCCCTAAACATTTCATGATTATAGATCTTTTAAAGGAGAGAAAAGCCCATTATTTTCAGCATAGAAGTTATACATTAAAAGGCAAAATGAGCAAATAAATGGTCCTGGAATTTTACACCAACATCTGTTTTTAGTATCGTTGCATTTTTCACATCTTCTGTTATTTCTGTCAGTCTGTAGACGCTTATAACCCAGGAATCACATTATAAGGGAGCCAAACTGCAGTCAAATATAAATCTCACAAGCAAGCAAATACTTCAAGTGGAGCACTGATTCAAAAGCCTGCTTGTTCCTGTTACATTAAGTCTAGGCAGAAGGAAAAAACACTTGTCTTAATGCCACATGTATTATGACATCAGAAATTTAAAGTAGAATGTTGCATTGTTCTTAAATGTAATAACTTCACTGGCAACTCATTCAACTGAAAGGAACTTTGAGGCATCTACCTGGCTTGCTCTTTTGGGATGTTGTACGTTTGAGGCTTGGAAGCTTATCATACATCTAATATATCTGCTACGTGTGGGATAAAGGATGTGTAACTTAAAATGTGATTATGTACAAATTTGAATCTATGTACAAACTTGTCTGAGACATAGGGAACTTAGAAATTTTAAATTTGACATAATTATGAATTTTTGTTATTTAAAACTTTTGATAAAGGTATGTATGTTTCTGTAAAGATCTTGACAAAGTGTTATAGATTGTCTTTTCTATAGCTCTCCCAAAACTGGTGTTTACGTGTGTGAGTTTGAGAGGAGTTAGTGAGCATGTGTGTGTACGTGTGCGCATGTGTACAAGTATTAATTTTGTTGGTGGTTTTTAAAGTTAAATTAAAATTAAAAAGCCTGTTAATTTTGCATAACTCCCCCTCTACGTTAATACTTTAGTGTTCAAATCAGAGCGAGATCTAGTCCAGTATTTGTCTGTACTGAAATTACCTCAATTTGGTTGTTCACCAGTTTTTCTGCCTTTTGAATGGCATTAAAAAAAAAATTTTTTTTTTTGCCTCCCTTTCTCTCATTTTCACCCACTTTCTTTTCCTATTTCTTTTTTAAAATGGGATTATATTTGATACAATGAGAGATGTTTATCTCCTATAAAGATGTTGCTACTTTAAAAATCTTGCCAAGATTATCTAAAGCACATTATCTATTTAACTTTGTCAATGTGGCTTTGTTCAGAGACTATTTCTATGAAATTGATTGAAAACCAGTGTCTTTATTTCTATTTAAAATTTTGGGGGGATGTTGTCTCGTAAGCCCCTGAATTTAAAAATTTTGCAGGAATCACTGCATCAGTTTTAAAATTTGTTACTGACATTTAAAAGCACTTTGAGGCCTTTGTATTTAATGGTTGTTAAGTGCCATTGAGTCAGTTCCAACTCAATAGCGATCTTGTATAGAGGGTTTCTGAGGAGCAGCTGGTGAATTTGAACTGCTGACCTTGAGTGCTTATCCAACAGTGCTACACCAGGACTCCTATGTATTTGATGGTGATTCTTTATATAACTAAATATTTTTAGGCATTGACACACTGCTTCCTGCATTTGAACATTTGACGTTTAGATTTCTAGAACTGAAAGTTCATGATATCATGCCCTTTGTTAAGTCGTAGGAAAGGAGCTCTGGTAGCAGAGTGGTTATGTATCAGGCTGCTAACCTCAGGGTCAGCAGTTTGAAACTACCAGCTGTTCCACGAGAGATAGATGAGGCTTTCTGCTCCCATAAAGATTTATAGCCTTGGAAACCGTGTGCAGGGTGGCTATGAGTCAGAACCGACTCCATGGCACATAACATCAACACCACCAAAGCTGTGAAGAAAAACAGAAAGATATAAAATTTGTTATTTTTACGACTTCAACTAATAATTCCTAAGATTGGTTTTAAGAACAATTTCTGTTGTAAAATTTCTAAAAGAAGATAAATCTGCCGTTGTTAGTGTTTATAAAGTTATGAGAAAAGTATTTACAATATTGAAAAGTTTTGTGCTGAAAAAAAATTTTTTTTTCTGCTCTAAATTATACAAATGCATATTTCAAGCCTCAGAAGATCTGTAAGCCTTGGATTTGGGATACTGAATTTAGTCATGAAATTGTTAGATGCCATCGAGCCGGTACCAACTCATAGCGACCTTATGCACAGCAGAACAAAACACTGCCTGATCCTGGGCCAGCCTCACTATTGTTGCCACACTTGAGTCCATCGATGCTGCCACTTAGCCAATCCATCTCTTTGGGGGTCTTCCTCTTTTTCTCTGACCCTCTATCATACCAAACATGATATCCTTCTCCAGTGACTGGTCCCTCCTGACAATATGTCCGAAGTATGAGAGACGAAGTTTGGCCACCCTGGCCTCCAACGAGCACTTGGGCTGCACTTCATCGAACATGGATCTGTTGGTTCTCTTGGCAGCCCATAGCACTTTTAGTATTCTCCTCCAACACCATAACTCAAATGCGTCAATTCTTCTATGGTGTTCCTTATTTACTGTCCAGCTTTCTCACGCATATGAGGTAATTGAAAATACCTCATTGACAATGGCTTGGGTCAGGAGCACCTTAGTCCTCAAGCTGACATCTTTGCTCTTCAACACTTTAAAAAGGTCTTGTGCAGCAGATTTGCCTAATGCAATACGTCGTTTGATTTCTTGAAATAACATGTGTCAAATTAGCCTGTGAACTTTTCCCCACAGAATGATTGCTTGTGTGTTACGATGCCTTTCATTTTTAGTTGATTTCTAGTACAATAGCACGTCTGAAGTTTGCAGTTAGGAAACTATTAAGTTGAAGATGGTTTTGGAATTATAGGAGTTGAGTTAATTCCAACAAAGAAATGAAAAAAAAAACTCACAGCTAATCCTAATCTTGTTAAGTCAGCATTGGTTTTTTAGATGGAATGCTGGTTCTTGACTCCAAGGTAAATAGAATTAGGAACTGTGGCAGTAACCAGCCTCTTAGCTCTAAAACTAGCATCTTGATGAAAAACTGTAATTGTATCTTGGATGACTGGTTATTTCCTCCCCTTAAGAATCTTGACTTATCTAATACCTGTGCAGAAAATAGACTTCTCAGGCAAACAAATTTGCCTCTTAAAATGCACATTCCTAAAAACTAAGACATGAATTCCTAAAACAAAACAACATGCCTACATTTCAGAAGCTTTATATATGAGGGACTCTTTCTTCTTTTCCTTCTCCTTCTCCTCTTATTTTTAGTAAGAATTGCTTATCCAACAAAGAAATTTGTAATAGAAATGTGTTTTCCCTCCCACCATCATCTAATGATAGATTCTTGCATAATGAAATTGTATTAAGGATTCAGACAGAAGAGCAGATCTAGGATGTTGTTTGATATGACCAACTTTCAGATTCCTACATAAAAGATGCAACTTAGTGGTCTGGAAATGAGTGAAAGCCTATCTTAGGTTTCAAGTAGCATATAGGAATACTTTTTCCTGACAGAAACTTGGCAGCTTGTACATCTTATGTTGATATAATTTAAAGCATTCTATGATTTTCTGCCTAAAGCTTATTTAGGCAGTTGCATATATAAAGCATATATATCTAATCTTTAAGAAAGAAATCTGAAGTTCTTTGAGTACTTGAAATATTATTCATTACTTTTCTATTGAAATCTAAGTATAGGGTGGCTTCAGAAAGTCATGGAAAAGTTCTGTTATCTTTTAACTCCATTTTCCC